ATTTTGAAACTGAAAACACAGACTCATGTTAAATACATATATTTTGAACATTAATGAATACAATTACATTTCACTGAGTATCTGTATACATTAGAAGAACACTTCATAATGTAAACTGTGCAGACTCAGCAGCTAAAGACAGTCAAATAATGTATTGATCTCATGGTCAATTTAGTATGCGATAAGTCGTCGACAAACAGGGTAGAAGATACATCAGTGCAAGAATCATCAGAGCAAAAACAGGAAGTTTCTCTTCTGAAGTAGAACTTGAACGCCCTGAATCTACATATTATCAGCTGTTTTTGGTGATATTGAGAACATACCACAACTGGAGTTTTTATCCCGGTTCCTTACCATTACCCAAAACCAATTAGTTTCAGTTACCTAAACACATTATTCACAAAGTTTCAAATCTTTGAAATTATAGATTTCGTCAGGTTATTTCGCACAAGTGCATGTGCTTTGGTTAAAAAGGTGCTGGCATGCAGTTGATGTGTTTTCTCTCTTGACTGCTTCAATCCATTCTGTATTATCTTCAGCAATTAGGGTACTTCCCCGTGATCAATGAATCCAACACGCCTCTGTGTGTTTGGGTAGATGCTCTGTTTGCTTTATATTTCTGCTTTTCTCTTAACCTGTTAAGCCCTGAGCCTGTTTTTCAGGCTTCAGGCTCCAAAATGACATTCCCAGAACAAATGACTATCACTTTCACTTCTAAAAGGGGTAAATTAATTATATTTTTTCTCAAAGCAAGGTTACACCTGTGAGTTGGATGTAGAAGAGTCAGAATCAATATAGATGTTTTTAAAAAAAAGAAGTAAATTCACATTGAACATAGTAAAAAAAATTAAATTATAGTTTCCGTCCAAAAAAAAACATTACTTATAGTGAAAACCACCCTTGAATGATGGGATAGTAGACAAAAGGCTTTCGGAATCCAAACTATAACATATAAGTACCCTGTATCACGATTGATGCACAAAATGTGACCTTTCTTTGCAAAAAAAACCCACCTCTGGTCATTTCGTGAAAAGCCCCCGCGGGGCCTATGGGGCTTTAACAGGTTAAAGTAAGCACTTGATTTGCTTGAGCTTATATTCTCTCTCACAGCAAAACACTGGGCTGAATATTATTCACCAACAGTGGTTTAAGTATGTTCAAGTTCAAAACATTCAAACATTGCAAAAACAAAAGCAATGGTGTTCGGATCCAGACATATTATGTTAAGCAGCAATCCTCAATTAAGCCTGACACTGGCTGGTCAGCCAGTGGAACAGGTAAATGAGACTAAATTGCTTGGCATTGTTCTTGATTCTGGTTTACGGTGGACAAAGCAAATTGACAGTATCGTAACTAAAATGGGAAGGAGCATAGCTGTGGCGAGAAAATGTACAAAATATGTAACACCAACCACTTTGAAACAAGTCATTCAGTCTCTGGTTTTGTCACATCTTGAATACTGTCTGGTCATATGGTCATCAGCAGCAAAAACACATTTACAGAAATGACAAATAGCTCAAAACAAGGCTGCCAGACTAGCTCTCCACTGTTCGAAGCGCACTCATATTGGAGTTATGCATAGAAACCTATCATGGCTTCCGGTTGAGAAACGTCTGCAATCTTGTGTTATCACTTTTCTAAAAAAAGTCCAATTTAGCAAAAAAACACTGGATTTTTATGATCAAATAGTTTACACAAGAGACGAGCATGACCATAAGACTAGACAAGCTACATCAGGCCATCTACTGGCACCTAAACCCAGGACCAATCTTCTGAAACCTTCAGTGTCTTATAGAGCTATAAAGGAATGGAACTCATTGCTAAACTACCTTACTGAAATAGAGTCTAGAGCCTCTTTCAAGAAGAGATTGAAGGGCCATCTACTAATGACCATGTACCCTGTGAGCTGTGAACCCTAATTTAATTTGATCGCATGTTGTTGATGATTTTGGTGATATTTTTAATGTTGTTAATGATGTCAGGACTTATGTCCTAAATGTTGTTGTATTATTGTTGTATTGTTTTAAGTGTCGGACCCCAGGAAGAGTAGCTTTTGTCGAGAGCAAAAGCTAATGGGGATCCTTAATAAACATAAACAAGTTTATCAATGACAGTTACGCTCTTTCTTGATTGTCATAATTGAGTTTAAACAGCCATCTGCACCTAAAATCACGTTAAAACAAAAATTCTCTGTTTCATTTCTTAAGAAGAAAGCACTGAAGTATATATAAAAAAAAAAAAATGGTATTGAGAGAACAAGAGTAAAAACACCCTAGCCATATCAGCAACAGCTCTTTATCTGAACTGATGCAAACTGTCAACGCTGTTAAATGGACACAACTCAAACACACATCAGTGTTTGCAGGCATGTTGTGTACGGTCTAAAGTGCTTACATCACATATAAACAAATGCATTGCCTGATCCATTCTATGAATTAATAATCAGAAAATACCAGCGGTGTCTGAGTAAATGTCTGTAGACTGCATTATAAAACCATCTCTGGAAAGCCACATATTTTCCCGCAGGGAGTCGTGAAACTGTTCAAGAGGGAGGCGAAGGGAAGTACACACGCACATGGAGCCATCACACTTTGTACTTTATTTCAGGATATCAGCATTATCATTTGGAAAATCTTGCACTTCTATTATTTTATTATTCTATACTCGGACTTGACAAACTAACTGCAAACAAGATTTAATCTGAGTGGGTTCTGTGTTTTTGTGCATGTTGGAATAACAATGAACTGACCTATCGACCGATTTTCCTGGTAAGAAATATGTAGAGTAAAGAGTCTTCAATCCAGCGAGTGTACCAAGGCCAGTCCGTGTTGTATATAAACAATGGTTCATTGCATGGGCGTCGCAGCCATTATATGAGGGTGGGACATGTCCCCCCCACCTTTTAAAATGATTAGTTTAGACCCCCCCACTTTTACCATGTGGAAAGTCCGTGAATCGGTCTATGCACT